ATCCTACAGCTTGTTTGATAGAGATTATTTAAGGAGGCATATGGTATAGTTAAATGTGCTTTCAAAAATGCTGGCCAGAATCTTCTGGCAAATATGAAATAAATATCTACATCAGATGAATCTGATAGTATTAGTTCTCTTAAAAGGCAGTGTGGGAAGGCACTTGACAGTGTTTATAGTAAGAAGTGGAGGAATATCAGCGAACGTGGAAAATTTAGTCATCTGGTGCTGACGGGTCATTGAGATGAATGGTATGAAAGACTTGGGATTAGAGCCTGAATTGATAATAGAATCTTTGTTTTTGTATTTTCCTCCAGATGTTTCTAATATAATAAATTTTCCTGGAATAAATTGATTATTTTCATTACTCTTTCTTGGTTGGACAAATAAGGCTGTTAACCTACCTTCTTACATGAACACTTCTTTTCAATATACCTATGTATGTACATCTATATAATCTCTCACTCCATTGTTTCAGTAGGCGGTGATACAGTCCCAACTTTATTCTTCTGTTTTCTCTGATGAATGAGACTTTAATTTACTTATTTTTATCATGGATACCAGGACATTTTTTTCTGTCTTTATTTTGGATATAAACATTGATGCATTAAGGCTGAGGACCTGCTCTGTTTTTCTATTTCGCTACCTGCCCTTCAGTGGTGGAACTTTTATCTTTTCTTCTACATGGTGGATTGCTTTCTGATTACATATAAAAATATAATAAATTTACCTAATCTGCATTGTATTTCTATTTTAAATATTATATTCCGTTCTGGAAATTGTCTTTTAAGAGGGATAGCAATTTAAGCCAATCTATGGGTGGCCAACAAGATGTTGCTAAGTATGGAAATAATAAATAGGATGAACTTTAAAATTCTGTCAAAGTTGGATTCAGGAGTGATACATTAGCTCTGTGCCAGCATCAGGTTTGGTCTGTCATGTAAGAGATAGATTTGACTTATTCTTTATTGCCCCAAGCAAAGGAGAATGAAAGAGTGGAAGGTAAAAGGAGGCACCTTTCAGTTCAACATTGAGAAATCTTTCTAACAATTAGAATTATTTAGAGAGTGTTGATAACTAAAGTGTTCAAGAGGGACAGCTATATGATGAGGTAAAAGATATCCTAAATTTGTATGTAAAACCTCATATATCTGCTTTTAAGTTTTATATTATTGAAGTTTTTTCTATTACTAAGACATTTGACACTTTTTAGATGAAAGGCACTAAAAATTGAGATTATTTCTAAGTGCCTTTTTTGTATTTTATTAAAATATACAAATCAGTTTAAAAAGAGGTTATTTTCAGTATAATACTGAAAATATTTACTATACAACATAGCTGTTATGTGCTATACATCTCTGAATATAGCTTTGTTTTTCTTCTGAAATCTAACAATCTTCCTGACTGTAATCTTTGTTTTAGTTATATTTTGAGATATCTCAAAAAGAAATTACTTTATTTAATAATATTTTAACCATATTGAAGAAAATATTTTAGACAAAACATTAATTCATATAAATTCAAAACTAGAAGTGAATTCTTCAAAGTATACACAAATATGAAACTTCATTTTTCAACTTATAATCTTTATTATGCATAAAGCTAACTTATAAAAAGCTCTGTAGAGTACTTAATAGTAGCACTTAATTTCAAAATACCTTAAGTCACCTTAATTTTAATAACGTTTTGAGTAGTTGCCAGTTTAATTTTCAGTATGTGCAAATTGGAGGTAAATTATTTATTACTTCCAGCAAATGTCTTTCACAATTTTATTTAATTTTTTCGCCCTTTTTAATGGATCATAAAATGGCAGTCTTTTATTGGATATGCATAAAGTCAGCAGCAAATGAATACCTTGCAGATAGGTTTCTTTGGATTGAAATGTCAATCATATTTCATGGAGTATGAAATTTCTCAGATCAGAGTAGCTCTGACATATGGCACTGAACTAGTCCCCCATTTTGGAATTGTCATACATCTTTAAAAATTAAATAAAAGCACTTTGACCATTAGGCCTTATTAAATTTTATTTAATTGATTATATATCACAATACTATTTAATATTTTCTCATATGGAATAAATTTAGTTTTATCACAATTAATTTAGTACCAACTGATGTTAAAATGCACTTCAAACAATCTTTTTGTTATGTTAAATTGTTTGGGCTTCTTCTATCTATCTACATGGGAAAAAAATTTTTTTTAAGTCTGGCATAAAGAGTGGAAGCAATTCCAAACAATGCAGAACCAATTTATAGAAAAGGAAGTTGAAAGAGCTGTTAGTTCTCAGCCTTATCTCCCCAGACCACCATGTGTTTTCTGTCCTATGAGCTGGTTCTGTCTCAGGAGATTCTTCCTTGTGTTTCATGACCTCACTTTCTCACCTGACTGGCAGTTTCTTCTCAGATGCCACCTCAGGCTCTTCTTCTTGCAGTCCTTTAACTCTCAGTTTTCACTGTCATTGCATTTCTGGCCCACAAACACATCTTCCCTGCTTCCTCTTCTTGCTGATGAGCTTCACAACTCCATTCAATATCTTTTCCTTAGCGCAAAACCCACTGCTCAAATGTCCACTATCCATATGTCTACTGACTCACTTAGATTTCCCATAGTCACCTTACAATTGAAGTTCCCAAGTTAAACTCGTGTATTCCTGTTCAAACCTGCTTCTTTCCCTATGTTTTCTGTATAAATTTATCCACCCTCTTGTGCAAGATGGAACCTTTGAAGTCATCTTTAGTCCTTCTTCCTCACCTACAAACAATAAATGTCCAAGAGAGGTGAGGGAGAACATCGATTGGTCACCTATATATGCCCAGACCAGGAATTTAACCTGAAAGCTTTTGGAGTAAATGACTATGTTCCAACCTCCTGAGCCATACCAGCAAGGCCTCCAGGTCTGTGGAGTCTTAGGTCAGTTTCATTTGACAGCAGCCACCTTATACTAGACTGAGATTTGGAGGATAATGTGCAGTTACTTGGGATGCCTACAAGATCTTATCATAGGAAAGGGAACTTTCTTATTAAAAAAAAAACACAAAAAAAAAAAACTGTTCTACTGATCCCTTGAAAACTGAATCAATAAGATTACCTGCAATAATCATACTTTATTATAAATTAAATAATCTTCCCCCAAACTAAAACCATGTCCTGTCACATGCTTCCTGGTACGTGCTTTAAAGTAGAGGAATTAAGAACTAGGAAAGATTATTTTTGGATTCAACTGTGCTTAGTCTTCAACAAAATAAAACATGGCATTCAGTTTTGCAGAATAAGCAATTAGGTTTAAGTTTTCTTTTTTTAAGTAAGCTACTTGGCGTTCTATGCTAGAATAGTTCAGAAGTTCACTTAAGTTGATATAAACACCCTGAGTTGTCATTCTCTTGTGGATTTAACTAAGCTTTGTTTTAAATGCAAAATATTTTGAAGAGATTATTTTACAAGAAATATTACCAATAGGAGTATTCCTGAATTTTGAAGGAGAATTTTGAAGAAGTTTGCTAGTAGTCATTTTCCTGGTGGTTCTCTCTTGGTATAAATCCAAACTAAGTTCACATTGAGAAAAGAAGCACATTAAGAACTTTTCTTTCATCAAGCATGTGTAGTAAGATGGAAAGAGTTCAAAATTTGTTAGAGTCCTAGTTTTACCACTTTCCGCATGGAAATGAACATTTCTGGGCCTCATGTATCCCATCTATAAACTGTGGAACTACTTCTTACTTGAAGAGTTATTGTAAGGATTAAATGAGATAAATGTCTGAAAATGCCCATGATAGCATCTGGCCCATACCAGGCACTAAATAATACCTCTCATCTCTCCTCTCTGGCATTTTTATTGAAATTTTTACTAGTACCTTGAGGTTGTTCTGTTTAATCCTAACTCGCCTTAACTAACATATTTGGCACTCTATCCAAGGTGTAGAGAAGAAATCTTTTAAATCTAGCAAAATTCTACTAATTCAGAGTAATTAAGGCATAGTTTCTAGCTATTACTTTTTAGAATTTGGAATATTTTATGAGGATTGGAGCATAGCACTTTATAGGAGCCAGATTAACAAAATGTTACCTAGTACATTTGCTTTCATGAATCTTGTGATGATAGTAATGTTTAGAGATAGGGAAAATAAGCTAACGGGGAATTAAGGATATTTTATCTCTTTTTAGATTTTTTTGAACCTGAAAAAAAAAATCTCATCATTTTTACAGATTAAGGATTTTTTTTCTAATTTATTTAAACTACAGTAATTTCTCCATATCCATGGGGAATATATTCCAAGATTTCCAGTGGCTGCCTAAAACCAGGGATAGTACTAAAACCTATATATAATCAATTTTTCCTGTACAAATATACCTTTCACCTAAAGGGAACACTTCGTCACTTCTCTTTTGACATATCCAAAACACTACTTTGGAACTTTGGGGCCATTATTACATAAAGTGAGGGTTACTTGAACACAAGCACTGAGATACATAGAATAATCAATCTGATAATGGAGAGTGCTAAGTGGCTAAATGGCGGGGAGCATTGACAGGATGGATAAGCTGGACAAAGAGATGACTGGGTCCTGGTAGGACAGAGCAGGATGGTAAGAAATTCATCATGCTACTCAAAACAGCACATAATTTAAAATTTATCATTTCTTTTTTATTTCTGGAATTCTCCATTTAATATTTTCAGATCACAGTTGACTGTAGACTTATCTAAGTAAAAACTCAGATAAGGAGAGGATTACTGTAAAAAAAAAATAACAGGGATTTCTGAATGTTTCTACTTATGTTAATACTTTTAGGAACAATTAGATCACTTACAGAATCGGCCTCTGGCTAGTCCAGTAGGAACTGGAACTAAAAAAGAAAAAAAGCTGAAATAGCTGATCAAAAGCTTGGATTTTTTAAGTAGACTTTCCAGTCAGTTTTGAATTATGTAAGGAAATAAAAATATCCCACAATATTCTAGCTTTAAATTTATTTTTAATTTTTGTTTCTTCATTTTGTTTCAGAACTCTTGATGTTTCAGTGAGCTTTAACGGAGGAAAATCTGTCATCTCGAGCTCATTAGTAGTCACAGCCACAGAATGTGTAAGTACAAAGTTTGCATAAAGTTGCCTTTTAAAATAGTTCTATCCAGAAGTAACTTCCTGGTCCTCAGTAGTTGAGCATACTATAGTAAAGTAGGTATCCTCTCTAATAAAGAGGGAATATGCTAATTGACTGCCACACCTTCAAAAATGGCAGTGCCCACAGCCACAAGATGGTGGCACCCAGTCTCTTTAGCCCTGCCGGGGCTGCAGGTACATGGCAAAGCCAGGCTTGCCTCTGGAGTCCCCCATCACTCTCAGTCCCTCAGCTGCCCAGGGCCGCCTGAGGCTTAGGTATTCAGGGCAGGTGGAGGCTTGCACTACTGGCAGTGGCAGCAGCAGAGGTGTGATGTGAGCATTGCCTTCCCCTGATCGCTGGGTCATCTCCTGCCCCCAAGGGCTCCCAGATCGTGAGAGGGGGCAGGCCAGGCTGAGGGACTTCCCCTCCAGTACATGAATTTTCATTCACTGGGCCTCTAGTATGTAATAAATGAGATCATTACAAAGAAAAATTTGTATAGAGTTTAAGTTACTCCCTCTCCCCGCCACCCCGTGGTTGCGTTTAAAGGGAATTTTCAGTTAGTATACATTTTATTTTGATATTTATAAAATTAAAGTCATATTTAAAATAAAAATAAGCTATGAGAATGATTTCCAAATGAAGCATTTCTTCTTGAAATATTAAACACATGAAAAGAGTGCTTTTTTGTAATGAAGGTTGCATTGTAGCATCTAAGACATCCTGTTTTTGGAATTATTTGTGCATCTTAATAGAATGAGCTAATATTTTATCCATTTTACTGTTGGTGCTTTCTCATATGAGTAAGGAATTTGATTTTGATAGCTTGATAATACCTCAGTTTGCAGCTATATTTTAGTTGAGATGTTGATTTATATTACCTAAGATGCAGTGTTTTGAAATGTAAGCTCCATTGATAAAATAGTGTTTTCTTTGCAGTTAAATTTTTGGATTTATGGAAAATTTCATATTAGATTGTTGTACATGGAAATAAAACACAAAAATGGACTGATCACATGACTATTATTTTTTCAAGTATATTTCTCCCTAAAAACATGTAAATTAAAGCAAAAGGGAAAATAAGCATCCATATGGGCTCTTGGTTGCTATGAATGTCTCTGGATAGTTCTCTAAGTACCTGTATCTATTTTAAAATAGCTAGCTTTAGTCCCCCTTTTTACCTATAATTCATGTTGTAATTTGTAGGCCTGGTGGATTTGCAATTTGTAAGGCTTCTGGTCCCTCCGGATGTGGTTGAGATTACAAACACTTGTGGTATAGCTCACTGTTAAGCTCACTGAAATGACATTCTTTCTCCATCCTTCTTCCTATTCTGCATCTCCAGCTGTCTTTTTTCACCTCTTTTCCACACAGTCAGGAAAACAAATCTTTTCTGTATCCTGTAACATGATTGCAGTGTGCACGGATGCTGAGGCCAAATGATTCATCTGGAGTTTATATGTTAGATATCTTAAGGCAGTCTTTCTAGATCTTGCTAGTTCTCAGGAAAACGTAATGTGACTTTAAGTGGTTTAAGAGTGAGGTGATTTCAGGAAAAGGGATATCGGTTGTGTCATAGGTGGAGAGTGAAGGGACAAGCTGTGATATTAAATAAAGGATCAAAGCAATTTTCATGGAGAAGAGAGTTGAGAAAATACTTAAGGAAAGTGAAGGAGTGAGCCCTGAAAATCACTCAAGTGTTTCATGCAGAGGGAGCAGCTAGAATGAAGCCTGAGGGGACTGGGTCTGGCAAGCTGAAGAAAGCAAGGGGGGCAGTTTCCTGGAGTGGAGGCAGTTTTGGGGAGTGGGAGTCTTAAGATGAGTAGGAGGGAGTGGAGGGAAGGAGACAGATTATGCAGTTTTGTAAGTCACTGTAAAGACTTGAGTTGTTCTTTGGAGTGAAACAGGGAGCCATTGAAAGCTGACTTATTCTGGCAAAGTTTTCAAAGGATCATTCCAGCTCTCATGTAAAAATATGCTTTGCAGGGAGGGTCCCAAGTGGAAACACGGAGACCGATTCTGTGGCTGTTTCAGTAATTCAATTCTAGGCAAAGGGAGCATGGCTCCACTATGGAGATGGCGATGGAGATGGTGAGACGTTGTTGCATTAAATTTAAATTTATTTTGAAGATGGTACCCATGGAATAGATGCCTGGAAAGATTAGATGTAGGTGTGAGAGAAAGACAGTAAGAATACTTTCACGCTTTTTCATCTGAGCAACTAGGGTGAGTTGTCTTCAGGTTGAGTAGTTTTTGGAAGAGGACAGTGGGTAATATTGTGAAAAATACACGGGCATTGTATTTAATTAATATCCAGTCTTTCTGGCATATTCTGATGTGATAATTAGGCAAGATGCACTTAGTGAGGTTACTCATTATAAGGTGATACTTTGGGTTTTTACAGGCATTCGAAAACCAAACAGAAGAAAACACCATTACTTTAGCAACTGATTAGTTCTTGTGGCAACCCCACACATACAAAAGCTTCTCTCTGCGTTCCAAGAACATCCGGGCTTAATCCTGTGAAGGCACTTATGTCACTGAACTGTCATTTCCTGTTTACGCCTGGCCTTTCTCAGCAAGTCTTAAGATGTTGATGGCAGGGCTTGTGCCTTGCTTGTTGCCCCCTCCCTTGCATAGGACTCATTCTCCAAAATTATTTGTTCAATGAATGAATGAAAGGAGTTATATTTCTAGTTTAAATGTGGGCAATCTAAGGTTTAGATGGAAGAGATTTAAGATTAGAGCCTGAGGAGGGTAATTGGGTAGTCATTTCTCTTCTATCTTAGAAGATGTCTGAAACGTGTCTCTGTTTGAAAAAATACAGTTAAAGGTGTCTTCCCTCTCTTCTCCCCCTATCCTCCTTGGAACCACTGCTCTTCTTCTGAATCTCTTGGAATTATAATACCAAGAATGAGTTTTCTGAGCATGTATTAAACACAAGACACTGTGCTCAGCATTATATATGAGTTAATCCCTTCATGACTTCATGTGATACTCAAAATTCAAGAAGAGGCTTTTGGATGAGAAAACTGAGGAACAGAGAGCCACCTTCAACTGTTAGTGCACATTTATGTAAACATGTTAGAAGGTACTTTTTCTGTTAGGTGGACCCAAACCTCAGCAGGGGAACATGGTTTGATGCATAGAATATGTGCTGATTTTAGCCCCCACTGTGCCGAGAGAGGGCAGGGTTGGAATCTAGAGGCTCTGGAGGTTAAATCACTTGGTCAGTTTCCCAGCTGAGTAAAGGCTAGAAATGAGACTTGAAACCAAGTCTGTCTTCCTCCCAGGCTGAACACCTACACAACCTGCCATTTGTAGTCAGGTCCCAAATGGATATTTATAAAACAGGGTGGTAGTGTGTGCGTGTGTGTGTGTGTGTGTGTGTGTGTGTGTGTGTGTGTGTAAAGTCAGGTAGTTAGCATTTCAGGTTGGAGGGCTGTACTGTTTTTATCACTTCTACTCAACTCTGCCATGTTGTGCAAAAGCAGCTATAGACTTCTATAAACAAATGGGCATTGCTGTGTTCAATACAAATATGCACGTTGAAATTTGAATTTCATGAAACATTCTTCTTTTGATTTTTTCAGCTATTTAATAATGCAAAAAAAAATTCTAGTTTGTCAGAGATCTTATGAAATAGATGAGTTGATTTAACCTTTGGGTTAGTTTGCTAATTCCTAATATGGAATATTCCAAAAGAATCAGCAAATGAAATTGTCACTTACTCCATGATTCTTACCTCCAATTCTAACTTCATGGAAACAAAATTGTGGAGATCCATTTCACCCTTTCTGTGTCTGTTTTATTTTTAAAAAGGTTGCTGTGATTATTTTCTAAATAGATTAAAATATGCTAACTGCAATTTTGGAATTTTTGACTGATTCTTCTTTCCCATAGTTATTTTGATGGTGTAGTAGTGACTCTGATTTGTTTTTATATTCCTGTGATTCTCTTAGTTAGAATTTCAGTTATATTTGGCAAAGTTTTTGACTGTACGTTGTAACTTGCTTTTAATAAAATAAAGGAAATTAGATGCAGAGAAAGTTAAGAAATGTAACGTATCCAAAATGATTAGAAAATCTATTTCTTCTACCCTAAGATCAAATTCAACATTCTGATATAGTTCCAGTTAACCAGTAAAAAGAGTTTTAGCCTCATGGCCTTGACCAACATCTGGGTACTAAGTTGCTGACTGGATACAAGTTGTTAACTTGTATACCCTAATCTTTTTAGACATCTGAAAATGCTTCTTGTTCAAAACTATAGTAGTAGTTAGAAAGAATTGTTCTAACAAATGGCCAATTGAAAGGTCATTGAACAAATGACCAGTTCCTTCTGTAATAAAAGGAATTACTACTTTTTAGAAATGTGTGTTTCATATCTCTTCTTCAGCTTTTTCGGGTGCTAGCAGGTCCCTCAAACTCTGTGCTTTAGCCAAAGTTGTCTCTTTCTTGTTTTTGCAAAATCCATTAATTCTTCCCTCCCTCCCTACCTGGGATTTCTTTTGATTCCTCAAGGAGGTCCTCTCAGAACCTTAGACCAAATTAGCTCCCAGTTTGACATGTTTCTGTCGTAGTTTCCTTATATACTACTCACATTTGTAATGATTTTTTTTCAAGGTCTGTCTCTCCAACTAACCTGTGGGCTTCATGAAGACTTGTTTAACTTTGTAACTTTGAAACAGAAGCATGCCTAACCAGAAGTGAGAGGTAGTTAGGTTCTGTGTATGATACAAATCTGTGTTATCATATCTAGTTCCATCCGACTCTAAGTCTTCAGATTGCAGCATGTTATCTGCTCATAGGACTGAAGTCTATGTGTTTGACCTCTCCTTAATTTGTTTATAAAGTCTATGAATAATGAAATGATTTCCCTTTCATGATTGAAATCTTTTATGCACTGATAGTGGCTCTGAAAAATCAAAACAAAGGAACTGGGACCGTCTGAACTTGTATACAGTTAACTGAGCTAATATC